ATTAAGTAACAAGAATTAATTGATAATCAGCGGGTTAATAATTTTTCCAAATTAGATGTCCAAGGTGGTATGAAAGAATTCATACCACATTTTGTTTTTAAATAAAATAACATTCCTTGGAAATCTGATTTGGAAAAATTATTAAAGATGTTTTTACAAGTTGTTTTCCTTGCCTCCTTCGGTGAATCCGTGTTTGTTCCCACCTAGCTGAAGCCCATCCTTTAAGCTTGAAGGCAACAAGTTCCTTTAAGCTTGAAGGCAACAAGAGGAATTTGCTTGGTTTTAGGTACATCAAAATACTTGAAAAATTCTTCAACTTCTTCAAGCCAGTCCAAGACATCTTCAATAATAATACTTACATGAAAAATAAGTAGATCAAGTTTTACCCGAAATTCACAATTATTGCATCTAACTTGATCACTGAATACGAACTCCTCATCATCAGAAGAATCAATGAAATAATCAGCATCGGCTAGTGGCTTACATGGATAAACATGAACATAACCCATATTCGGTTGGTTGTGAGACACATCATCAGCGCGAACTCAAACTGAACCACGAACCTGGTTGCCACCAATTCCAAAACCAATTGCTATGAACCGATCTTGAGTATGCGTGGCTACCCAAGGGAACTTCACTCTGCAATAATCGTCGCCAAACTGGGAGCTACCAAAACGAGCAATTGTCATCAGACTAGGGTACGACAAGGTTCTGATATTAACTGACGTAAGCAGAAGTGATAAATTTGTTCACAAGGAACATGTTACTTTGAATCCACAAAGTAGGTATTTTGAATCCACAAAATAAGAGATAAATTCATAAAGAATTCTGAAATATGATTAATAAAAGGTTATAATTTGCTACTGTAATACATGAATATTTATAATAGAGAAACCCCAATACTAGAAGGAAATTAAAAACACAATGAAACTAATCCTAGAAATAAGTCTAAAAATAAATTTTCTCTAAAAATTCTGGAAAAATAGAGAAAGAAACCTAATAAAATAAAACTACTAAATACAAAATCTCAGAGCATTCAGACTTCATTAAGGCATCGAACAAAAATCCCGAAATAATCGGCAGGCCTCTTATAACACAATAAATGCGATTTCGGAGCCCTACGAAGGTTTTTAGCCGACAACCAGCATGGCCCACAAGCTTAAACTGGTGGGTTTTTCTCAATACGTCATTTTCACCCAAATAAACACTATTGATTTGTCAAAAACGGACTTGTTGGACTGTTTGTCGAACTGTGCAGAATTTTGTCCCACATCATATACAAATATATATGTATATGTATGAGTTTAAAGAATCATAAAATGCATATGAAAGAGATGAAACTCAAAATTGTAAAGGGGTTTTTATGTCATTTAAGATTAAAGATATTTTGTATTAAAAATTTGACGGTAAAAGGGTCAATTCGCACGTGTTTGAAGCCAAAGAGTAAATTGGGGTGTAAGTGAAAGTTAAAACCCAAATCTTCATCTAGCTGAAAAATGACCAAAACTCAGAGGGTGTCTGTGTAATTTGCCCTAAAATATTTCATATGCCTATTAAATCTTCTTCATTGGGTTTCTTTATACTACGGAAGGGAGTGGGTTTTATTTTACATCATTTTGTTTTGTTGCCTTTGATTGCTTTAGCAGTTGAATTCCTTTTGTGTAATTTAGTTTTGCTAAAAGGTGAATGTGATTGCCCTTTTTGATACACCTACCATAACTAATCAACCAAGGCTAATGTGTTACCTGTAATTTTATCCAAAAAGATAAATTGATTAAAATAAGAGAATGAAGAGAGTACTTAAGAGGAAAGAGAGAGATAAGAAAAAGAGTGAAGGTATAAGTACTTGTGTGTTTCTTGAATTGGCGTTTCTAGAATTACAAATTCATTTAAATCAATGAAAAAGTAAGTTTGGTTAGATGTCAAAAATTATTGCTAATTGTGTTTTTTAATCAAACAAAAAGTAAATTGCCTATTGGTTCTTGTAGTTGGCAACGGTAGAGGAATACTTCCAGTTGGAAGAGGTGGGGCATTTCAGAACAGGGGTGGCAGATTTGGCCATCAAGGTGGGATATGAAGTAGATGCTTGATATATATTTTATAGGATCTATGTGAAAGGAATTGTTAGACTAGAAGGGAATAGAAATATGAGTTTTCAACAATATAGAAATATATATTTTATATGATTCATGTGGAAGGAGTTGTTAGACTAGAAGGGAATAGAAATAGGAGGTTTCAACAATGTAGAAATATATATTTTGTATGATTCATGTGAAAGGAGTTGTTAGACTAGAAGGGAATAGAAATAGGAGGTTTCAACAATGTAGAAATATATATTTTGTATGATTCATGTAAAAGGAGTTGTTAGACTAGATGGGAACAGAATTACCAGACTTGTAACTAAAGAATTGTTTTCCCCTAGAGGTGAATTGGCGATGGAACTTTATTTTATCTTTGTTACTCTCTCCCTCTTTGCATGTGTGGGCACACACGCACACAATCACATTTTCCTCACACACGCACACAATCACATTTTGATGAATTGTACATTTTAACTTGTGCATTTGTGGGTTATCACCCAACAAATTTTTTACAACAATTTTATTGCTGCCTTAATTTCATGGATTGTTTTTTTTTTGTACATGCTATCCTTTTGTTCTCAGGAAAAACATTCCTTTAAGCACATTTCGTTGTATTGACTTGATAATTGCATTGTAGGGCTCTCTTCCCGTTAATTGCATAATTAAAGCTGGTGTTCGGTCTAGTACCATAATTTGTGCTGGGTCTAGTACCATAATTTGTGCTGGGTCTAGTACCATAATTAAAGCTTTGGTCCTAAGTAAACTCACTAACACAATCCCATTACCATGTAATGTATAATTCTCAAATAGAGTACAAGTTCAAAACATGATTAATTTACTAATCAAACTACAATCCAACCAAGTTTTTATACCAAATTTACTCAAGTTGACACAGAATACTCGAACAATGCAAAAACCAAATTCAGATTTTCTCTTTGAAAAAAAAAAAGAAACTTCTACAAATTTAAACTGATAAAAAAGAAAAAAAAAATGAAAAACATATATAGAAGGTAATAGAGGTGGGGTGGCTCAGATTGGGCTTTGATCAGATATTGTGCCACACCGCAATGGCTGCAACAACAGTTGTCCAGTGAAAGAAAGAAGCAATCTTTCACGGACCCTCTGAATTGCCTCGCCAATATACGATCTAGCGTCCGATTTATACAAATACATAGTATATCATCACAGCCTCACCATACAGTTTTAGAGAGAGAGAGAGAAAGAGAGATTCAATTTATTATTATTATTATTATATATATATATTTTAAACAAGAAAAAGCAAAGAAGGGTTGTTGATTTAACGGTCACTGGTTTGTTTGAAATCATCGGCTCTGTGGATGATATGATTTATAGTTCAGGGATCATCCATTTGACAGAGAGGGGCAACCACCCTTTGAAACTCCCCCATCTCTCTTAGCAGCAAGCCTCATTCTTAAACTAATGAGTTTTGAAACCCTACACAAAATCAAGATTGCAGTTGCAGAGAGAGAGAGGGCAAGTTCAGAGTTGAGAACGAGAATAGAGATGGAGGCGATTGGGGATGCTGAAATGATTTGCCCTAAAAATATGTATTTTTTTCTCGTGGCACATCATCCATGGGCCTATAAATTTTGAGACCCCAAAAATTTTGAGGCCCTAAGCGACACCTTTGTCACCTTGGGTCAGGGCCGGCTGGGCTAATTTGGCTTGGGCCTTTATTTTAGTATGATGGCTGAATTGACTTGGGCTTGATTGGGTAGGTTAATTTTGGGTTGGGTTAATACTATTAATAAATTTTTTTTGGGCTGGGCTAAAATTAGTATAGTAATTTTTTTTTTTTTTTTTGGGGTGGGCCGCCCTTGCAAATGCCCTATATTCTTAAAAGAGAAATGACACAAGTGTCCCTAATTCGTATATAAGGAAACCAATTCATTCCAAGTTATTTTGATCCCCATCTCATTCTCTTACCAAAATTTCTAAATGTACACAACCATCCATCAATTCCACAAGCATCAATAGTTGCAAAAAATTGTGTTTTCACAAACACCAAGAGGTAGGAAACTATAACACAATCCAAACATGACAACTACAACTGCAATGATAACATATATAACTAAATGAGAGTAATATCAATATATACTCATTAGCAATTACTTTTCACAAACACCAAGAGGTAGGAAACTATAACACAATCCAAACATGACAACTACAACTGCAATGATAACATATATAACTAAATGAGAGTAATATCAATATATACTCATTAGCAATTACTACGTACAAACTAAGAATTTGTATCAAAATGTGTTTGCCAAAAGCAGGTATTATTATTATTATTATTATTATTTTGTAAGAAACTCACATTAGGTCGAACAATTATTTGCCTCTACCAGAATTTGAACCTCACATGTCACTTCAAAAGGAAGAGGAAATACTAAAATAATTTAAATGACTAAAATAATAGGACTGGTGGATGTATAATTTAAATATCCATAATTAAGGGAAGATTGCTAAATTAATGCACTATTGAGATAGGCTCTGTAGATTACGATAAGGATTACAGATTGAGATAGGCTTTACAGATTACGATAACGATTAAAGATTGTGATAAGGATTAAAGATTACGATGAGGATTAAGTCTACAGATTACAATAAGGTAATTCTACGTGACATCTTAACCTAAGCCCTATAAAAAAGGCGGGGTAATCAACGTTTGGGGGGATGCAATAAACCCTAACTCAATTTCTTGATTTCTTTGAAGAGATTACTCCGCCCACTGTCTTGTTCGTCGGAGCCTACTCCACCGGTGTTTGTAAGATCACTTTTTCTTCTTTCTGCTCAGGAAGTTGGATTGGATCAGATCAGATCTGGGTTACGCAGAATCCATCCTCAACAGTTGGCGCCGTCTGTGGGAAATTATTTTTGTTCTCTAAATAAAGCATGGTTCGATTGCGATCTGGTCTGGCTGCTGGCGAGGACGAAGGGTTGCAGGCTTCTGATGCAGGGACTTCAACGGGGCAACCCCCCGTCGTCCCAAACGATCAGGAACGCATCGCAGCGTTGGAACAACTGGTGAACCAGTTAGTCCAGCAAAATGCGATAATTCTGCAACGCTTAGCTGCCCCCAACGAGGAGAGAAACAGTGAAGTACCCAACAATGACTCCCATAGGGTTAACAACGACGTTGAGCTTAGTCAAATAGGGGGTCAACAGAGGAGCCATCACCATCGGTCTTCTGAATGGAATACAACCAGGCTGACAGATCGTCTCGCCGCCCGAGCCCAGACAGGTATAATAACTATACCCCCCTAAATACATCTGTAGAGCAAGTCTTTCTGCAGATTCAAGATGACGCATCATTAAAATGGCCGCCAAAGCTAAAAGCTGGTCCAACAAAGAGGTCTCGAGATAAATACTGTAGGTTTCACCGGGATCATGGACATAACACAGAAGATTGTTTCGACCTCAAAAACCAGATCGAGAACCTTGTTTGTAAAGGTCATTTACGCAAATTCACAACTAGAAATCGAAAAGGAGGCTCCAACCCAGCCCAGGAGGGCCGAGATGATCGCCCTCCTCAACACCAACCAATAGGTGAGATCAAAGTTATATCGGGTGGCTTCGCTGGTGGTGGTGAGACAAGTTCGGCTCGGAGGGCTTATGCTAAGAGAATTCGGAGTTTTTCAGAGGTGAATGAAGTTGGAATGACAAGTCTTCCAACAAAATTACCTCGAGTTGAGGAGCCGGTCATAACCTTTTCTGAAGAAGATGATAAGGGAATTCACCAGCCCCATGATGACCCTCTGGTAGTTTCCATGGTCGTTGCTAATTTCACTGTTCGACGAATACTGATAGACAATGGTAGCTCGGCTGACATACTATTTCTTAGGGCGTACGAGAAATTGAAAATCGGCCAAGAGAAGCTCTGACCCATGAAGTCACCACTGGTGGGATTTTCAGGCGACAAAGTATATCCACTGGTGGCAGTTACCCTTCCAGTTACTGCAGGAGCCAATCCAAAGCAGGTCACTGTAATGGTGGACTTTGTAGTGGTGGACTGCCCATCATCATATAATATTATCCTGGGGAGGACAACATTGAATGCCATGAAAGCAATCACGTCCACTTACCATCTCCTGATGCATTTCCTAACTGAATATGGTATGGGAGAGCTAAGAGGGGACCAAATAATAGCTCGCGAATGTTATGTTGCCTCTCTCAGAAAAACAAAATCGCAAGAGGTATTTACGATTGAAGGGCTGGAAGGGAAAGATAGACCAAATTTTCATAAAGCGGAACCTACAGAGGAGCTAGAAGAGGTCATCCTTGGTGATGGTGAGCCCGAGAAAAAAGTGAGTATAGGGTCTTTACTCCCCCCAGGTATCAAAGATGAACTTACTCAATTCCTCAGGAAAAATCAAGACGTATTTGCATGGGTACATGAAGACATGCCGGGTATAGACCCCACTATCATGGAGCACCGCCTAAATGTAAATCCTGACTTCAAACCTGTCAGACAAAAGAGGAGGACTTTTGCTCCAGAAAGGAATCAAGCTATATCAGAAGAGGTGGAAAAGCTCTTAAAAGCCGACTTTATTCAAGAGGTGTACTATCCTGACTGGTTGGCAAATGTGGTCCTAGTGAAGAAGGCAAATGGAAAGTGGAGGCTATGTGTGGATTTCACCGACCTTAACAAGGCTTGCCCGAAGGACAGCTTTCCTCTCCCAAGAATCGATATGCTCGTTGAGGGAACGATTGGACACGAACTATTAAGTTTCATGGATGCATATTCTGGATACAACCAGATATCTATGTACACCTCAGATAGAGAAATAATGACCTTCATCACTGATAGAGGTTTGTACTGTTACAAAGTAATGCCGTTTGGGCTCAAGAACGCTGGTGCAACATACCAGAGGCTAGTGAATGCAATGTTTAAGCGTCAAATTGGTAGAAACATGGAGGTATATGTTAATGACATGTTGGTGAAAAGCTTAAAAGCTGAAGACTATTTGACTGACCTGCAATAGACCTTCGAGGTACGTAGGCATAAGATGAAACTCAACCCCAGCAAGTGTGCCTTTAGGGTTTCCTCAGGAAATTTCTTGGGATATATGGTAAGCAGAAGAGGAATTGAGGCCAATCCAGAGAAGATCCGAGCAGTCATTGACATGAGATCGCCAAGATCAACCAAGGATCTACAATGACTAACAGGGAAGATTGCTGCCTTGAGTAGGCTAATCTTTCGGTCAACTGACAGGTGTCTACCTTTCTTTCGTGTGCTAAGGAAGGCTTTTGAATGGACCCCAGAGTGTGAGCAGGCATTCAAAGAACTAAAGCAATACCTTAGTTCTCCCCTACTACTGTCTCAAACCATACCGGGAGAGGAACTATACATATACCTTGCAGTCTCCACGACAGCTATCAGTTCAGCTCTGAAACGAGAAGAAGAAGGGGTCCAAAGGCTAGTATACTTCGTGAGCAAAGCACTTAGGGGTGCGGAGGAAAGATATCCAAGGATGGAACAGTTGGCCTTTGCTTTAATTGTATCCGCCAGGAAACTAAGACCATACTTTCAAGCGCATACGATTGTGGTCCTAACAGATCAACCCCTTCGATAGGTCCTACACAAGCCAGAAAGCTCTGGTCGACTGATGAAGTGGTCAGTAGAGTTAGGGGAGTTCGACATTCAGTATAAGCCAAGAACAGCAGTAAAGGCTCAGGTGTTGGCTGATTTCTTAGCTGAGTTTACCCCTCCAGAAGAGGAGAAACAACCCCAATTTTCGACAGAACCAGGTTTAAGTGAGCAGATGGGCCCAGAAGTAGTCTGGGACTTGTTCATGAATAGGTCATCTAATGTTTAGGCTAGCGGAGCGGGGCTTGTTCTTGTCTCCCCAGAGGGAGAAAGTATACAGTATGCACTTCGGTTTGGTTTCAACGCAACCAACAACAAAACAGAGTACAAAGCCTTGATAGCAGGATTAAAAGTGGTAAATGCCCTAGGGGTTGAGCAATTACACCGACTCCGAGCTGGTCGCTGGACAAGTTCAAGCGGAATATGAGGCACGAGACGAGAAGATGAAGAGTTACCTACAAAAGGTGAAGGAATTAAAGAATCACTTCCAAAGATTCTCAATTCATCAAATACCACGAGAAGAGAATGGGAAAGCAGACGCTTTAGCCCGGCTAGCTACTGCATTGAACCTGAGATCAATAAGAATATACCACTGGAATATTTGGATGAACCATTTATATCTCAGGAGAGACAAATTGAAGTGCAACAAGCGATATTGAGTGTGGAAGGGGCAGATCCTATCATCAGATATATCAAGGATGGAGTGCTACTAACAGACCGAGCAGAAGCTCGAAAGGTCAAGATGCGGGTAGCTAGGTATACGCTTATCAAAGGGGTGCTCTACAAGAGAAGCTTCTCCATGCCGTATTTACGATGCGTTTCTAGCGAGGAAGCTGACTACATTTTAAGGGAGATCCACCTAGGAGTTTATGGAAACCATGCTGGGGGTAGGTCACTTGCTAACAAGGCCATCCGACAAGGATACTATTGGCCCACCATGCAGAAAGATGCACTTGACTTCGTTAAAAAGTGCGACAAATGTCAACGATTTGCCAACATCCCGAGACAACCGTCAGAGGAGATGACTCCCATGTTAGGATCATGGCCATTTGCTCAATGGGGAATGGACTTGATTGGCCCTCTCGTCAAAGGCAAAGGGCAGACTAAGTATGCCATTGTTATGGTTGATTACTTCACTAAATGGGTAGAAGCTAAGCCTCTGGCCAAAATCACAGAGAACAATATAAGGAAGTTCGTATGGAAATCAATAGTTTGCAGATTTGGGATTCCTAGAGAGTGATTGTCACAGACAATGCAAAACAGTTCGATAACTCTGACTTCCAAAAATTTTGTTCCGAGCTCAGGATTCAAATTCATTTCTCATCGCCAGGACATCCCCAGGCGAATGGACAGGCCGAAGTCACTAACAGAACAATCCTTCAGATGATCAAGACTCGACTTGATGCTGCAAAGGGACTGTGGCCTAAGCAACTGCCGAGTGTACTGTGGGCTTACCGTACTACTGCAAGGACTCCTACAGGGGAAACCCCTTTTCTTTTACCGTTTGGAAGTGAGGCCGTAGTACCTGTAGAGATTGCCCTAACAAGTTTTAGGACTGAGCACTACGAGCCCAAGCAGAACGAAAGGGAGTTGGAAATAAGCTTGGACCTAATCGAAGAAAGGAGAGACCTAGCCCAGATTAGGATGGCTGCCTATCAACAGAAGGTTTCTAAGTATTACAATGCTCGGGTCAAGCCTAAGAGGTTCTCAGTAGGAGATTTAGTACTCCGCAAAGTTACTCAGGCAACTAAGGATTCAACCATAGGGAAATTAGGTCCCAAATGGGAAGGACCGTACAAAGTTACGCGATGTCAGCGACCAGGAACATACTGGTTGGAGGACTTAAAGGGAAAGCCACTGATTCACCCATGGAATGTTGAGTATCTAAAGAAATATTATCAGGCGAGCTGGGTGAAACTCATAATAATCTCTTTTCCTTGTTAAAGGGCGAGCTGGGTGAAGCTCATAATAATCTCCTTTTCTTGTTAAAGGGCGAGCTGAGTGAAACTCATAATAATCTACTTCCCTTGTTAAAGGGTGAGCTGGGTGAAGCTCATAGTAATCTACTTCCCTTGTTAAAGGGTGAGCTGGGTGAAACTCATAGTAATCTACTTCCCTTGTTAAAGGGTGAGCTGAGTGAAGCTCGTATACATCTACTTCCCCTGTTAAAGGGTGAGTTGAGTGAAGCTCGTATACATCTACTTCCCTTGTTAAAGGGTGAGCTGAGTGAAGCTCGTATACATCTACTTCCCTTGTTAAAGGGTGAGCTGAGTGAAGCCCGTATTCATCTACTTACCTTATTACGAGCTGTGTGAAAGTCGTCTTAATCTACTTTCCTTATTAAAGGGACGAGCCGACTAAAGATGTCAATAAAATCAAGTATAAAATAACAGCAGCATGCCAGCAGGGCAGCTTGCCAAATAAAGGCAGCATGCCAGCAGGGCAGCTTGCCAAATAAAAGCAGCATGCCTGCCAAATAAAGGCAGCATGCCAGCAGGGCAGCTTGCCAAATAAAGGCAGCATGCCAGTAGGGCAGCTTGCCAAATAAAAGCAGCATGCCTGCCAAATAAAGGCAGCATGTCAGCAGGGCAGCTTGCCAAATAACGGCAGCATGCTAGCATAACAGCTTGCCAAATAAAGGCAGCAGGGCAGCTTGCCAAATAAAAGCAGCATGTCTGCCAAATAAAGGCAGCATGCCAGCATGGCAGCTTTCCAAATAACGACAGCATACCAGCATGACAGCTTGCCAAATAAAGGCAGCATGTCAGCAGGTCAGCTTGCCAAATAACGGCAGCATGCTAGCATAACAACTTGCCAAATAAAGGCAGCATGCTAGCAGGGCAGCTTGCCAAATAAAAGCAGCATGCCTGCCAAATAAAGGTAGCATGCCAGCAGGGCAACTTGCCAAATAACGGCAGCATGCCAGCAGGACAGCTTGCCACGGCAGCATGGCATGGCAGCTTGCCACATAACGGTAGACTACTAGTATGGCAGCTTGCCACATATACGAGCTGCCAATGTGGCACTACGACAAATATACAAGCTTGCCAATATACGACAAATATACGAGCTTGCCACATATACGAGCTGCCAATGTGATACTATGACCCCCGACTGTATTCGCGAAATGACAATATAAGTCAGGTTAATAGACAAGGCTCTGCAATTCTAATTATATATTATTGTGTGACATTTTAGAGTTAACGTTCCGGTGGTTTGACAAGCAATCCTCCGAAACGGGGGGCAACTGATGGATGTATAATTTAAATATCCATAATTAATGGAAGATTGCTAAATTAACGCACTATTGAGATAGGCTCTGCAGATTACGATAAGGATTACAGATTGAGATAGGCTTTACAGATTACGATAATGATTAAAGCTTGTGATAAGGATTAAAGATTACGATGAGGATTAAGTCTACAGATTACAATAAGGTAATTCTACGTGACATCTTAACCTAAGCCCTATAAAAAAGGCGGGGTAATCAACGTTTGGGGGGACGCAATAAACCCTAACTCAATTTCTTGATTTCTTTGAAGAGATTACTCCGCCCACTGACTTGGTCGTCGGAGCCTACTCCACCGGTAACACACTGGTGTTTGTAGGATCACTTTTTCTTCTCTCTGTTCAGGAAGTCGGATTGGGTCAGATCAGATCTGAGTTGCGCAAAATCCATCCTCAACAAGGACTGTGCTTGATTGACCTACCTGCCAAGGGCATCAGGGTTTCAAGGATACTAAAATAAACAGGTTTTAAGGAAAATAAATAAAATTAACTTTTTATCAAGATGGAAAATTGTTAAATAAGCCAATTAACATGTATCACAATTTGTAGCCAGCAACATTCACTTCAGATGATAAAAATACTAAAATAATGTAGCACTAGGATGAGTGACCTCTTGAAGAAAAGAAAAAAGAAAAAATAACTTTTCGAGAAAAAATGAAAAAAAAAAAAGAATAATTCATTACAAAAAAATATTGAAATTATAGGTTTCTTTGCTCACGTTAAAAAAAAAAAAAAAAAAAAAAAAAAAAAGAAAAGAAAAAGTGTATACAAACAAAAGGCTCAAGTACAGCCCCAAAGCATATATAGATATATCCAAAGGATTTTTTTTTTTTTTTTTTTGGAAGGTAAGGTAAATATTATAGATAAATAGAAAGTACAATGAAGTTAAACCAAATGAAAGCAGCCCACACAAAACAGGCCCAAGCCAATACAGCCCAACTAAAAGAAACTAAACGTGACCATTACACAACACAGGGAGAAGGACTCCACATCGCACGTCAATTCTGGTCAGGCGGTTTTGCATATGCCTATATACACACTGACACACAGTGGAGAGGGGCAGTAGAGCTGATTTAATCATTTTATCTCACAATAAAAAAATAAATAAATGGAGCTGAAAAATGTTCTATAAGAATTCAGTTGAAAAAAAAAAAAAAAGGTCTATTTCCATATAACCGTGTTTTATAAATCTCTGGAATTCCATTTACTATTTCGCAAAATTGAATAGTTTTTGCAGAACTGAACCATAAGTGTAAAAAAAAAAAAAAAAAAAAATCACGGGAGAGAAGCATATGATACTAATGATGATAAGCATGACAAACATTCAATTCAATTATGGGAGAGAAGGATGATAAAATACATAATCGAAAGCAAGAAACATTTATCTAAAATTTAGCTAGCCCAACATTAGATCATAATAAACCTTAAGGTACTAGTGACCAAAGTTTTCATGCAGTACTAATTAATTGTCTAATAAACCAAGTTTACCATATTAAAAGTTCAGAATTACTTGCTTAAGGAGTTTAAGATCTCTCCACTATTAATAATACAAACCCTTCAAGTAGAAGACTTTAATTTGTAAGTTCTTCAAATAAGACCCCAACGAGAGTTCTGATATATATAAATATATATATAGGATCAACATGCAGCTAGCTGGTCTACATTCTGTCCTGTAAATTTGGCTGAATTGGCTGCACACGGAAGGAAAATGGCATCTGGGGCTGGAAGTCTCTCAATCTCTGATGGAATCCATCCTCCATCTCTCTCAGATTACCCTCCATAACCAACTCTTGTTTTTGCTGTCAAATAAATACCAGAAATTAATATTCAGCAAATAGGCAATAAGAAAGTTATTGATATCCAAAAATAGAGAAACCGCGCTTCCATGAAGATTAACATCTAATTTGTGGTTGAATCAGTTGTTTTGTTCATTGTTTTGCCATTAGCATTAACACCATATTTAAGTTTATATCAGTTTTTTTTTATTTTTTCCGGTAAGTAGGTTTATATCGGTTTCAAGTTCACTGAAACAAATGAATTGATTTGCTTCAAAGAATTTTTATATATCACATTGATATATATTAATGGACACAGAATTTAACTACAGTCTAGTTAATAATGTGATGTGTATAAACCTTGACACAACAGAATATTCTTTATGAAAAACATATTACTTGAGATGAAACCAATACATTGATGGTTATATGTACTTAATAATTAATACTAATATATTTTGTGATAGATATATCAGTTTTATATTATTGAAAAAGAAGACGGTACAAGATAAACTATAAAGCCCAAGCAGATTCTCTAGTCGTGCTACAAAAGGGATTTGTATGTCAGAATTCATCAACTGACCTGAATTATCAAAATCCTTCTTGGAGTTAATTTAAAACATAAGGAACTTTTTTGTTGATTTGAAAACTAAAACAGATATATAGATATATACACACACAAATACACAGATACACAAATATGTGTTTAAATAACGGTACGTGGGTAAGATGATGGACATACCAACTGATAAGTGAGGTGCTTGTACTCTTCCTCAAGCATTTTCTCCTGGACAGTTTTCATCCCAAACAATATAAGTAAACATATATATAGCCTATATATCAATATATCTCTGGTCTATCTACAACCAGTTACAAGACTTCGGCACTTGTATTTTAAGGTGAAATATTTAAACAGTATTTAATGATATTCAATCAAACATAAAAGCTAAATAATAATAAATAAATAAAATCAAACATAAAAGTTATATAGGCATATATATATATCACCCAAGGTATGAATTGTTTAATCTGTACATACATTTTTCTTCATCATTCTGATGATTTCCCTCTGCCATAAAAAGAAGAAACAGAAAAGAAAGAAGATCAAATACCGTTAATTTGGAATTATTATGTATGATCATGTGTGTTTTACTAGATAGATGAATACTCGATCTAGCTACGTACAGCATGAAACTTACTTGTTTTTCACTATTACTCGTGAGACCATTTTCGAGTGCTTCCTCTATGGCCATCAGCTCTTTGTAGTGCAAAGATGTGATATCTTCCCCCTTCAGGTGCCTGAAACATATTTGCGTGCTTAGACTCAAGAAATATAATATGGATACATACATACATACATATATATATATATGCTAAGAATATGTGCTATTTTAAATTTCCAATATATACATGTATGTATATATATATATGTGTGTGTGCTGCTATTTTACCTGAGCTCAATCTGCATGCTGTCATTCTCCTTCTTGATTCTATCAATTTCATTGCTCAAATTCTGTAATATATATGCATATATATATTTGTTCATTATATATTGTTCAAACACCCAATAGTTTATGATAAGAAACTAACATATATTTTATAATTTAAAAAAAAAAAAAAAAAAACTAAACAAAAAAGCTAGCTAGCTTATAAAAAGATGATACAGATCGAAGAAGAGGTAGGCTATATATGTGCAGATCCATGATCTAACCAAAAAAAAAAAAAAAAAAAAAAAAAAAGGCCTCCTATTACATGCTTGTTTATGCCCTTTTGAAAAGATACAACTAAGAAGCAAGTAAAGAAACTAGTACAAGCTAGATCTATTCAAGGAAACACATTTACACTTTTATGTGTTCATAAATGAACCAAAAATGAGAACCCTTATAGTTATATAAATTTTGCAAGGAAAGGGAAGAGAGAGAACAACATTTTATTACCAGATCTGTTCATGGATGTAACATCTCATTTAGTTCTTTTGCGTTTTTTATCATTAAAAAAATTTCAGAATAATGAAGAGAAGAGAGAGAAAGAGATCTAGAGAGAGAGGGGAGGGGGAGAACCACATCCTATTTGTAGATCTGTTCATACAATTCATGCTGGAGCTACTTGACATATTTTTAGCAAAAAAGAAAAAAAAAAACCCATGTCATATTCCTCTTAGACTCTTTAGGAAAAAAAATGAACTGATCTGATCTAGAACAAAACATCAGATAGAGAGAGAGAATCAAACCTACCTCATGCTTTGCATCCCACAACCTCTTTCCAGACTGTGTGTGATATCGATCCATGATATCAACCAACCTTCATATCATGATCAAAATCAGAAAAATTAATAAATCCAAAAGACAAAAGAAAAAAGAAAAAAGAAATTCCAGAAAAATATTGGAAAAATTAATAAAGGTTTTTTTTTTTTTGGAATGTTAAAATTAATAAAGGGTTGTGTGTGTGTGTTCATAGGGTGTGTGTGTGTGTGTGTGTGTGTAGAGAGAGAGAGAGAGGCATATATATGTATATACTTAGTTGAAGGGCTGCAGTACTCATGCATCTTGCCAGAGCTAGCAAATATTACAAGAGAGACATGAGCATCACACAGAACTGTGATCTCCTTAGCCTTCTTCATGATCCCATTTCTTCTCTTTGAGTATGTGACCTGCCTGTTGCTTGGGTTCTCTATCCTCTTTATCTCTATCTTTCCTCTCCCCATGATGATGATATCTCTAGCTCTCACCCACAAACCCTAACTCTATCTCTTCTTCTCCCTCTTTTCTCTTCTCTTCTCTTCTTGCTTTTGATCTTAAGCTTGCAGAATATAAAGATATAATAGAAAGCTAGAGAGAGAAAGTAAAGGAAATTAAGGCCATTTCCATTATAAGTTGGAAGACAATCAACTTTCCAAGAAACTCAGTAAAGAGGGTTTTTATTTGGGCTTTTGACAGCTGCTACTGTGTTTCACCTTTTTAACCCTCTTGCATCTTCTTGACCTTTGGTTTCTCTCTATACATATAGATACACAAATATATATACATAAAACCTTAAATCACGAAAACTGATGATCAAATATATATATATACATAAAACCTTAAATCACTCCATGAAAACCTTTGATCATCAGTTTTCATGGAGTGATTTAAGGTTTTATGTGAAGCTAATAGGGACAAGACTAACTTGTGAACAGAACTTAGGGTGTGTTTGATACGTAACATGGGATTATTGTGCATGCTGTGTGATGGACACGTGTCACTTTTTGTGGCCTTGGAGTCTGTTATGATCAGTCTAATCTAGGGTTTGAGTGATGGTATATATTGATCAAAATCTTAACCATCACATCCAAATCAAAATCAAAGGTTTTTTCTTGGGAATGAATGAAATAGGAGGAAAGGTTAAAGGAAAGGGTCAAAGAGGGAAATGGGAGAAGAAAGTGTTTTACTCCGAGGAAGGAATGTTGATTCTTAGAGTCAAAATGTCAAATTCTTCAAACAGTACACCAGAGATTGGATTCTTGGACTGGCTTGGAATTTCCCACGGAATAAAGGATGTGTTCTACAAGTTGCATTGGTATGCATGCTGGATAACCAAAAACCCTAGCTAGGTCTCTCTACAAGCTTTAATCCAAAATTTAATAATAAAAATAAATAAAGCCTATTTTGCTTTTAAATGGAGTAATAATAGGTCATTAATTATTTGATTGGAGAAATTTTACAATACTCCGAGATATTTTTAGACGTGGTACCACTCTCAAAGAATGACTTGTTAAAAAGTATTTTCATTCGAATTTATTTTTATTTTTATTTTTATTTTAATTTTTAATTTTTAATTTTTTTTTATTAAAAGGTAAGCTTGTGTATAGCTTAGGAAGAATGTACATGGAGCCCCACTGAGGGGATAAACAAAATACAGCCATACAAACATAAGCCATTAACTTATGGACTGATATAAATAAAAAAGGACATAACAATGTCTTTGCAATATTGATCTTTGCACGCCAGCTTGAACAGGAGCACCAAACAATCCTTCCAATCTTGGACTCCAAATTCCACTTTGTGAAAAACTCCAATTTCACTACCAGTTTTAATCCAACCACAAGAGCAGTGTGTGAGGCCACTCCATCCCTGTAAACTTCAGACTTCAATCTCACCTACCATGCTTTAGGTTATTAACAAAATTTGCCCGCAAGCTGTGGATTAACCCTGCTGGAAAAGTAATTGGAGTTGTGAGAGAGATGAAATCTTCTTCAAGTCAGAGCTGTTTTTAAGCTTGGTTGTTGCTAGTCTTGCTCTAACACAGCTTTTGACTTGAGCTATAATGTTGTGGGAAGAGGTTGATTGGTTCTTAAAGGCTCTTGCATTCCTTTCCATCCAAATAAAGTACACAGCAGTAGCTTATGGATTAGGAAGTCTGGTGAGCTCTAATGAGAAGAACACCATTGTCCAGCTGTTTGGCCTAATGTAGAACCTTGCCACCTCTTGAACAAATCTCCAGATGTGTGAAGTATACTCCCATTTGAAGAATAAGTGATCGATGGACTCCTAATCTGAATTACATAGGTAGCAGTTGTTTGTGTAGTGCTTGTGGAGAACTGGTTTGGCATCCAATGTGTAAAGTCTTCCCCTCATACCAAGCCAAAGTATGGGACTATGTCTAGGTATATGGCGCTTGAACCTCACAACTTTGTGCCAAGGGAAAATTGGGAAGGTAGGGGTGAAGTATTTAAAGGTGTGTGGCATTGTGAACTCTTTGGTAGGACTAGGTAACCATTCAATATAATCTGGATTACATTTTCATTCGAACTTTATTTCATGATAATTTACATTTTCCCAGGCATGACATATATAATACGGATAATGATTCTTGAGAAGAAATAAACATTCGAAAAGATTGAAAAAAAAAAAAAAAAAAACACACACACACACACACACTTGGATCTACTAGTTTCATGTTGGAAGGAATATAAAATGCCTGCATTAACTTCCTTCTTTGGAAGATTGTCTAATCTCAAAGATTACCTAATCTCAAGACCTTGACCATGAGATGCATTGATATATGTAGACTTTTTTTTTTTAGTTGAATGGGTAAGCTTTTATAAAAGAGAAAAATAAATACAAGTTCAAAGTTGGACAAAGGAACCTTAGGAACATTCTCCTAAGGGAAAACTAGCAAAACAAAACAAAACAAATCTGCACTCACAATACATAGATACATTGATCAAACAATGAGTATTTCAACTACCAGCCCAACTTTTCTATGTCTGCTAATTCAATCTGCCAGCCATGACAAACAACAAGCTCCATAGCATTAATTCAGTAACAAGGTTTGGCCATTAGCAAATAGACAACCCTTGGCAAATAATTCCTGCAATTCTGCCACTGTACTGATACTGCTCAAATCAGTTCCATTTTTAAGTTGAATTGAAGCAAGTCTAGCTCTGATGTTCATTCTTATGATGAGGTAGGGAGGGGAAGATTTATTTCTGAATGCCCTTGTGTTCCTTTCTTGCCAAATGAAATAGATAGCTGCAGAGAGAAGAAGTTTATGAGTGAGCCATTTACCACGAGACCAATTATAAGAACACCAATCAATGAGCTCTCTCCAACTGTTAGGCTTGGTGTAGTAGCTTGTCACATGCTGAATGAATTCCCAAATTGCACAACTGTATTTGCACTTGAAGAAAAGATGATCCAATGATTCCCAATCCGCAAGGCAAAGATAACAGGCATTGGTGTAATGTTTTTTCCTCATTACAATAGAATCAAGGGTATAAAACATCTCTTTGAGTGCCAACCACATAATATGTCCATGCTTTGGGATGTGGTTTTTGTACTAGATGAGATGCTGCCAAGCAAATAACAAAGATGGTGGTGCATAGTATTCCATTGTAAGCTTGTGAGAGTAATCAAGAAGGGCACTTGGAAACCACTGTATTAGATTAGGTGTTGTAGTTGGGGGAGAGATGGATTGAAGTTGTGTAATGAATGCTTGTGACTGGAAGAATGGATGTTGCTGTAGAAAACCTAGGGCTGTCCATTGTGAATTCTCAATTAGACACTCAACTTTAAGCTGGGGGTCCAACTGTAAAACTTTACTGTCAGTCAACCCAACCTGTGATGATATAGGGCTATCAGGTAACCAGTAATCTAACCATAAACTTGTATTTTTCCCTTCCCCCACCTTGTGTTTGACAAGACCCCTAGCCATGCCCCTTAGCTTGAGTATTCTTCTCCAAAATCCTGAGCTCAATGAAGAGGGTTTGACAGTCCAGACACTCTAGGCCTTAATAAGGTATTCATAAATCCAAGCAACCCAAAGACTGTATTTTTTGATACATAATTTCCAAATGTGCTTGAGGCTTGAAACTCTATTTGTTAATTCCAAGCAAGGAAAACCAAGACCTCCACTTAGTTTAGATTTACAAATGGCTGACCATGTCACTTTTGCCCCTCCCTTTCTTGTTTCAATCCCTGACCAGTAAAAATTCCTAATAATCTAATAAATCTGATCAATGACTTTTATAGGAAGGATGAAGGCTTGTGTCCAATAGGCTTGTATGGAAAAGAGGATGGATTTGATTAGGACTGTCTTCCCTGCATATGACAAAAATCTTGAGGTCCACATTCCTATTCTTGCTGTGATTCTTTCTACCAAAGTTTAACAGTCAGTGGAGTTGATAGCTGAGGAAGAGAGTGGAAGTCCCAAGTATTTGTTTGGTAGAACTCCAACATCAAATTGTAACAATGAAGTGATATTGGATTTTGTTTGTGGATCAACCCCTGTAAAGAAAACTTGGCTTTTGGAGGGGTTGACAGAGAGGCCAGATGCATTTAAAAACATATTCAAGGCTGCAAGCAAGACTGTCACAGAGGAAAGGTTACCATGGCTGAACAAAATTACATCATCTGCAAATGCCAAATGTGTGATTCCCAACCTTCTACACCTCTAGTGGTATTTGAAGCATTCTGTGAAATAGAGTTGGTGATTGCCAGTGAGAGGACCTCCATGGCCAAAACAAACAATAGGGGTGATAATGGATCCCCTTGCCTAATTCCCCTCTTTCCCTTAAAGAATCCAAACAGCTCCCCATTCAAAGAGATGGAGTAAGAAGGTGTGGTGATACATTGCTCAATCCATTTAATAAATTAATCCGGAAAACCAAACAAGAATAGTGTGTCTAAAATGAATTGCCAGTGCAAGGAGTCAAAAGCTTTTTTAAGATCAATTTTGAGTGCATAAGAAGGTGAGTGTGAAGCCCTATGGTAACCATTCAAAAGCTCATGTGCAAGTAGGATATTATCTGTGATTTGCCTATTCTTTATAAAAATATTTTGTGCAGGATTAATGAGAGTGGGTAATACAGTGCTTAGCTTGGTTGCAATGAGCTTGGATATGCATTTATATAGAAGATTACAACAAGAAATTGGTCTAAAGTCACTAACTGTAGTGGGGTTTGGAACCTTAGGAACTAAAGCAATATAAGAACAATTAATATCAGAGAGCATTCTTCCAGAGATAAAGAAATCCCTTATTGCAGCAGTGATGTCTTGGCCAACAATTGGCCAAGTATGCTTGAAGAACCAAGAATTAAAGCCATCAGGTCTAGGGCTTTTATAAGGATGGAAGGAAAGAATGCAGCTTTGAATCTCCAAGTCTGTTGGAATTTCAGTGAGTTGTGGTAATAGGTGGGATGGGACAGACTTGGAGATAAAGGAAGAGAAGGAGGACATACCTGTGTACTGGTTGTAGCTCTGGCCAAGTAAGCTTTGAAAGTGTCTGATAAATTCCCTCTGCAGCTCCAACCCTTGGACAGTATTGCCATTAGAGTCCTCAGTTGAGACAATCTTTCTCTTGTTTGCTTTGGATGAAAAGGATTTCATGAAGAATGCTGTGTTTTGATCCCCAACCTTCAACCAATGAATCTGAGCTTTTTGCTTAAAAAACATCTCCTCAGCTAAGCAAAGCTCATTAAATCTCCTTGCAATGTCTTTCTCATTAAGCCTCAGTAGATCATCAACTGGATTAAGATCGATCCAGGCTTGTTTGGCATTGAATCAATTCATCTCTACAAGCAGTAACTTTTGAAGAAATATCCCTATAATCATTCTTGTTCAGCAGCTTAAGTGGTTGTTTCAAGGCTCTTAATCTCTGTGTGACTGAAAATATTTTTGTACCTTGGACATGTGTATGCCATCCTTGTTGAACAATGTCCAGAAACTTAGAGTTGGCAGCCCAGAAATTAAAGAACCTGAATGGAAGGTTCCTCTTTTGCCTTTGAATTCCGAATTTGGCTACCATTGGTGAATGGTCAGAGATTCCATGGGTTAAAAATTCACAGGCTGCATTAGGGAAAACATTCATCCAAGCTTGGTTTATCAAAACCCTATCCAATTTCCTTGAAATATTGGCACACCCCAAATTGTTATTGGTCCATGTGAAGAAAATTCCTGAAAATCTCATATCCTCCAACTCATTGTGATGCAAACAATTCTTGAAATCTTCCATTCCTTGGGTTCACCTTGAAGCTCCACCAAATGTTTCATTCACATGCAATAGGGCATTAAAATCTCCCATGAGTATCCATACTACTCCAGGATCATTATGCCTTGCAAGACTTCTCCAAAGTGGTTCCCTTTCAATAGTAGTATTAGCAGCATATATAAATGAAGCCAAGCATTTGATATTAGAATCCAAGAGCATGATAGTGCAGTTAACCACTTGACTGTTTTGTGACATTGCAAGGAGAGAAATCTTCACTGGATTCCACAAGATCCACACTCTACCCAGCACAGAGAAACTGTAATTGCATTGAATATGCCAATTTGGAGCAATGGCTCTATGTATACTATCCACATTATCACAATTAACCTTAGTTTCAAGCAAAGCCAAAAGACACAACTCATTATCAACAATTAAATTCTTTACCTCCACTTGTTTGAGGGGGGAGTTCAACCCTCTGATATTCCATGCATGCTCCCCAGTTCATTGAGAAGAACTAGTGAGCTTACACAACCCTCTAAACCCTTTCATGGTAGCCACATTAGCCAAACATGGCTTAATCACTTTTGCCTTTCTACTTATTTTGGAATGTTTGCCCTGTGATGGCTTTCTAGGCTTGAGGGCCTTCTTCATGATAGGTGAGTATGATGGATCCTAAATGGTACAAGTTAAATCATCTTCTTCTTGTTCACTGCTCTCATAACAATCATTGATTTCAACGTTATCCTCAGGGTTTAGAGCTTTATCCAATGCTGTAAAAGAATTTGAGGTTGTGACAGTAGATGGTACTTGCATAGCTCCATGTGAATCAGACATTTTATGGCTTGATAAGTCAACAACCAAATTCAAACCCATTGGGCAGTCAGTCTGAAGTAATGGTTCCACATTGACCATTGCGACCAGCTCCAGCGATTCAGAAGATAACCTTTGTATGGTTATGTCCAATTGAGAAGTATTGGCATTCTTAGCATGCAATGAATGTTCAAGTGGATTTGTAGTGAGAGGCTTGGAATTTCTACAAATTCCTGTTGCTGATGGACAGTTCATAATCTCAGAGGCAAGTTGAAGAAGACCATTTGAAGTGGAAGCCTCTTGCTGGTTTATAGTAGTGAGGGGTTGTAGGAAAGGATTGGGGATTGGTGTGCAATTGGTCAAGTGGTTCCTCTTCTTTCTTGTGACCTTATGCCATTCATTAGACTGTAATCCCCCATTACCAGTTAAAGAGATCTGCTCAACCTCATGATTAGCTTCAGAGCTGCTGGTTAATGTCCTACATTTGTCAGTGGAGTGGCCCAAAGCAATACATTTGGTGCAATTGGAAGGCGTCTATGGATACTGGACTTTAATTGTTTCCATTTTACCCTTGTTTCTAACAGGGAAAGATTTGGGTAGATGAGACATAGGACTAACTTCCACACACACCCTTGCATAGTCAATCCTATTTCTGGTTTGAGTGTTAGCATTAGCAAATAAGGGTTTACCAATTGCACTAGCTATATAGCTGAGACCCTTGGGTGACCACAAATTAAAGGGTATATTAAAGAGAATGATCTAGATATTGAGTGTATTTGAAATGATAAACCTTGAACTTGAAGATTGCTCATCATCTTGCCAGAGTTTTAAGGTGATTGGCATACCTGTGATAATCCATTGCTTGCCGGCCAAAATTGCTCTGCATTCCCGAAGGGACTGAGACTTGAAAAAGAAAAGACCAGCTTTGTTGACTACAACCTTGAGAAGCCCTCTGTTTTTCCAAAGTTTAAAAGCAATTCTAGAGACAATTTTGAATGGCATGGTTCTTCTGAAAGATCTAACTAGGTAGCTACTCCAATAATTGTTGCCTTCCTCGCAAACTTCATCAAGTGGTTTGACAATAATACCATCATCCTCCAATGCCAGCTCAAAGTACTCAAAATCCCAGTGATCCGAGGGGGACTGTGCCACTGATGCCCAGCTTTGACCCTTGTCCTCTTCCTCCACAGTGTCTTTGCTGTGTTCATCCACGTTTGTTATGTGATTGGTTGTGATATGGTTTATTTGTGGTGATGGTAGGGTTGGTAAATGTTGTAACAAGGGAGGGGTGGAAATTTGGTTTGTGTGGGTGGTTAAGTTAGTTTGGTTAGTTTGGTTGGGATTGAAAGAGAATGAGTCATGGCTAACCAAATGATATGGGGTAGGGCCCTTCACGTGGGGTGATACTGTAGAGATAACAGGGGAAAAAAGGAGTTTGAATCCTTATTCAAATTTGGATT